TAGTTTCTGCAGATTCTTCCACTTAAGTCCATCTGCTATCAATCTTCCTTCCACAGCACGGATTTCTCCACTTGCTGCAGCTCTGATCGACCTTCCAGCAGCTCAATTTCCAGCAGCTTCCATTCCAGTCCATTCTGATGCCCTTTTGTACAATTTGGTCCTCTTTTATGCTAATTTTCTACATTTGCCCTCTGAAATACCTGAACTGCAAAATCACCCCAAAAGTAAACTAATGCTCACTAATTGACACTAAATTCTAAGTAAAAATGAATAAAAAATGCCTGTTAAAAGGGTATATATTTTTATGTTATCAGATACCCCCAAACTTGAAGTGTTGGTTGTCCTCAAGCAACAGACCCAAACTCAAAGATTTGCTGATCCTCTAGCAAACAAATTCATGCTACATTTCTACTAACCAAGACACAAAAGGACTGACTCAGAAAGAAGAGGTGATATATATTTTTAGTCAAGTTTCATGTATAACAGTAATGACAGTGATCAAAAAAGAATGTGATTATATGAACAAAAGTAAATGCAACATTGTATCAATGTTAGTCTCATATTCAAGTCCTTTACTTAGACAGATTATACACCATTGTTCATCACGGAAAGGCAGCATCACAGTTCTTCAGTGTGTGTGTGCATATGTCACAGTCAAAGTTCAAGTTTTACTTATCATCCATTCTAAGAATTAACCAATTTAAGAACAAATGGACATCATTGTGATCAGTACCTATTTCCTGCATGCCATCAACTAGGGTATTCTCACTGAGATATTTAGATTTTAAGGACTTCCTCACAGATTCTACAGCAACATTGGTTGCACCTTATTGCTCCCTCAACCCTTTTTCTTCTTGTTCATATGGTTTTTCTTCTGGATCTTTCCCACTCAGACCCCTACCTTGAGCATATTTCCACTCAGTATTTATTCATAGTGGCTTGGCAACTTAGGGTATTTCACCTAGAGAATATTTACACTTGGTATTTGTAGTAATTTCTCACAGTGGCTCGGCTACTTAAGGTAGTTTATTAATTTTTCTCATATTTCCTCACCAGGCCTGAGGACTATCTCTATTGATTTGCCATAGATAAACACTCATGGGTATTACTGTCTCATTGGACAGTCTTCCTAACTTCCCTCATTTCAGAATTTTTTTTCTTTTTAGCTCATTTCAACCGCCTACCATTCCCCTTTCTCTAGGTTTTTAGGCTTTTCCAGACCACCATTGGGCTCTTACAGAGTATGTCATGATGCGAAGGGCTGCCTTAGTCTTCACTCAGGTTTATAGTCCTCCTAGGTTTCAGACAAGTGGACTCCAGTAGAAAATCACAACAATGCAGTTAAGGCATTCAGATTTTAACATTAAGTTCTGAACTCTCACTTTGGCAAGTGACAAGCCGTCGTCACACTAGTCAAATCATAATTACCTACTTAATACAATTACGAGTAGTAAAGTAGCAAGCAGGGTCGATCCCACAGTAATGGCACATCTAAGGTGAGATCATTCACATCCACTGCTTTACCATTCATAGTCCACAATACCCTTTCAAATTATTCTTTATCAACATGTAAGTAGCACATGATATTAAACTCTCGCATCTTACAATTCTGATTGTGATCGGGTTTGTAAGGTTCGCCACAACGGAAACATAAGTAGTTATGAGTCATGTACTAAATCTCTTGTGGCACTACTGTCTTTACATAAAGCTTTCCAGTACCTCTGTGTCCATTAAACTGAATACTATTACCCTGATTAACTGGTAATGGCACATTCTCTATGCCATTCTATCTAACCGACAAAAAACTAGAGCTTCCGGTGCCAAGCATATTTCCCTTATCAGGTTTGGCACTAACTCCCACCGACATTCCTAAATTTCCATTATCCCTATCACCACTGCTAACAGGGTGTAAAACACTACCAGGTTGGACATCTGTTGCTTGACCAGTATCAGTCCAAGAACCCTTACACAGACTAGTTAAATTCTGCTCTTGGTACAAGGCAGTCTCTAATGCAACAACTAAGGTTTTAGGTTTCCACATCTAATAGTAGGCTGAATTTTATCCTTTAAAGTTTAAACCACTAATGAAGAAAGTAACATAATAACCATCGTGAAAAGTATAAACCTCGAACAGCAATCTAGAGCATAAACGACAAATTAATGACTGAAAATCATTCCAAGAGAGATTCCAAAAAGAGTGTTTTATACCTTGGTACCAAGTGTGAGCTCTGCCGTCCAGGAATAGTTCCATCGGATCCATCTGTTCACCTTCTGGAATTTGATGCAGCAGGAAGTACTTTCAGCTCTTTTGTAATCGCTCATGTGGCTTGTGGCCGTCGAACATAGGTAGATCAAGCCGTGGTGGTTGATACCACATGCAGCATGGATGTCCACCATTTGGATTATACCTTGACTGACCACCCAGGAACCCTGATTGATTACCCAAGACTGGTTCACTGGTGCGTGTCGTCAACTCCTTCATCTCATGCGTTGTGTTGACAAGCATGGAAGGCACTGGAAAAAATGCCTCCTTACCGGAGCTGAATGTTTTGGGTAGCCAACAACCCCTTTTCCGTCACAGGCCTAAATGGAATTCTTGTCGAATCTGACGAGACTTGAATGGTTGGCAATTGATGGACCGTTGGATTCAAGGGACCCGTTTCCATCATCAGAGCCTTCTCTGGATTTACACTGGGCGATGATGCCTCCAGTTACTCTAGCAATTCATTGATACGGTTTTCACGCTCTTCCATTTCTTTCTGCATCTTTATTTCATATTCTTCCAGCTCCTTCTGGATCCTAAATTCACGGTCCTCAAACTACTGAATGACTCTGGCTTGACCTTGTTCAGACAAATCGACCATGGTTGCCTTCAATTGCGCGAACTGTTTGTCCTGATCCGTCGACAAACGATCGATCTTGGCGTTGATTTTTGCATTATTGACATCAAGATCCAGTAGCCGCAATTCTATGGTTTCCAAACAGATAGTGACCTCATCACCGATCAGCACTACGGCTCTAACTAATTCACCATTACGTCTGTACCAAGAGCAGGATGAAAAATGTAAGGTCTAGTCTTGTTAAGGAGGTGGCAAATTCTGCTAATGATGTTGTTGGAGATGGTAGATCGTCTTTTTATCTTCATTGATATTTGACCATTGATTCAATGGATTTTTGAATTCTTTTGATTTATAATGAACTTGGTTTCGTTTTAGTGTTCGTTGTTCGCAAGATTGGAACCACTCCACAAGCTATAGTAATTCTGTTGTTAACTTGCTGTGGGAATTCAACTTCGTAAATGGAAATCCAACATTCTGGTTTGATACTTTAATTTTCTCGCTTCACACTTAATAGCACTAGCAACATTGAAGACATGCATCTTCTTTGATGGAACTATTTCCAAAATCCATATTTGTGTGGGTGTGCTTAGTTATGTTTCGAGCTGATGATGGCAAATTCATGTTGGCGAAGGGCGCTACCTCTTCAGCGTTAGCAGAGTTTTGGCTTTAAGGTATGATTTGTTGACATTCAAGGATCTCAGATAGTTTATAGTTTTGGGTGGCTCTTCTGTGGCCATTTTCAGCAATATGGTAGGCACTATTCTACTATATGTTTGCCCATTCTTCTTGAAGTTAGGCAATTGGTGATAGAACTATCGCTTGACGCTTTCCATTGGATCCCACAAGCAAAAAAAAAAAAAAAAATGTAGCACTATCGCTTTACGCTTTCCTTTGGATCCCACGTGCAAAAAAAAAATGTAGCTCATGACGTAGCTACATGTTAAATCTCACTTGTCAGATGCTATTACTTGGTGGTGCCACTAAGTTTCTTCAGTCATTATTGATTTCCAGCAACTTTGATTAAAAAAAATAATAAAAGTTATTGTTCGAGCAAGAAAAGTAAAGAACGATAACAATTAAGTTATTTGTTAAGTCATTGTTTGAGCGGGAAAAGGGAAGAACGATAACTTAATCAACCTATTTTTTTCTAATATATGTGTATAAACAAAATTAGCCTAGTAAATAGATGTGACAGCACGAATTTGCATTTAGCCCCTCAAAGTTACTTCGTCTAAGAAAGTTAATTTAATTTAAAAAATTTTCTTCAATAAAATGAACTATATCTCATGATTTAAGGATGTATTTTATTTTTTTACTCCCAACAAACCATATTTACTCATGAGAGTAACATATAAACGCTCAGTCAATACTGACAAAATCATCGTTGCATGAACAAGCCTCTGATTGAATTCAAGCAACTCTAAAACATGAAAATTTAAATTGGACATTAATTAGTTTTACTCATAGTTGGAAATGCTGTTAAACTCTTGTTCTGAATATTTTTTATAGTTTCAGACCCTCAATGCATATTTTTGCTGAGTAGTGACTTAAAATTAGCAGTGATTAATTATTCACTAAACTAAAGTCATGCAAAAGTATAGTGATTTATAAACGTTTTTATCACTTTTATGATTTCGTAATGCTGAAATGGGTTTTTTGGAGTTCTTCATTTCCAAATTACTAGTGACAGTTGAATAGTTGAAATCCTCAAAACAAGATGGTTAGAGGTCTACTCAATATCTTATTTGAAAACCTTGGAGTAAAACTAGAGAAATCAAGATTGGAGTCACTAAATTAATTAATAGACTTAAAGATTGTGCACATGAACTACTAGTACCGAAGGTCACATATTTCAGGATGATTTGGAAAGGTCATGAAGGTGATAAATCACCTAATCCAATTTATTATAAACAGTTTACATGGGTGAATTAGGAACCCAACTGTAACTCTCTCACTGTTCAGTTTAATCACTATTGCATACTCTTACTGTAACCGCTGATCAAAATTAAACTAATGTAGGCACATGTGCAAATTGCAATGCAGTGTAACAAATTTGGAATCAATAATGGCAAATAGCTAGTGAATAAACCAGGACAGGCCTGGAGGGGATATCCCCTTGATATTGATTTATTTAAAAGTTATATTACATAAAAAGAGGGATACGTACACTAAATAAACACGCACACTTTAAAATTTGCCACCAGATTGTAATACATTGCACTGAGCTCCGATAAAATTTGGCTGGTCTCTTCGATCTTGTTGGGCCCAGAGATTTGCAGTGTTTCGTTCTCAGGCTTCTTGTTATTATCTCTTTTTGGTAGAGCTGCTGATGGTTTATCGTGTGCCATTTGCGCGTTCCACTTCCTCCTCCTCAAAATTTCCTTCTTTGCACAAGTGAGTCCTTCATGGCACAATGCACACAATGGATATACCATTGTGATGGACATTATGCCAGTTTGGATGCATTCTTTTGCGCCCATTTGTGTCTCTTGTAACTCTATATTAAGAGGCTCATAATTGGATGTATTCGGGCAGAGTTGAAAAGGATGCTAAAGTCCTCAACATTGTGGCCAGCGACGAGTCAGATTTCACTTTCCTCATTGTGGCAGCTTCATTCAATTCCTTCAACGGAGTGGTTGGCGCGGTCATGGTCGACAAGGACGGTGACGATCTAACCAGCCTCAACTTCTGTAACAAATTCTTGTTTCCCTCCTCAGCCTCAACTTCAGCTTTAGTTTTAGTCATCAAATCATGAAAACCAAATCCTGAAGATCCCCCAAACATACCCGAATCCAGACCGATGACTCCCTCGTCACAAAGTGAAGCCGAAACATTCAAAATCCCATGGAAGTTTCCCGATGGACGGTGAACGTGGACCGGGGTGATCATCTTTCCGAGAAGGTTATTGACAAGGCATCTTGCGGTACCAACCAGGGAGTCCTTCAATATGTTATGCCCTACGGCGTAAATCTCCACATTGAAAGCCGCGGTGGGGCTGTTGAGAAATTCGGAAGAAACCCTGAAGAGGAACTTGTCGTTCCATGTAGGGTTTTTACCTCCAAGACAATCCGTGCGAGTTCGTAACTTCTTGGACAAATCATCAACCCAAACAACTGCGTAAGTTTCAGTCTTGCTCTTCGAACAAACCTTCAAACCTTGAGCCGACACCAAGTTTATCTCCAGAACCAAATCACAGCTTTTCTTCTTCTTCTTCTCCTCCATCATGAGGGCAAGCTTCGCCATCAACAAGATGAATCCCCGAAAGAAGATGAGTATTTCAAGACTGTTTCCTTTTGCTTTCTTTTTCTCCTGAAAGCTTTATGGGAAACCCTACTCTATATATGGGCATATTTATAAGGTAGGATTGGTGTCGGTTTCTTTATATCTTTCCCTAAGGAATTATGGAAAGGAAAAATGTTTTGGACTTGACTAACTTAGGCACCGACTAGTAGGCACCGACTACTACTAGTACGTCCAAAATATGAGGTAGTATTTTCTTTTTGCAACGTACAATATCCGCGCTTTACTACAAGTCTACAAACTCGTATTTCTCAACTAGGTGAAAGTGTAAACCGATTCATAACCCAATTAATTCTTCTTTTTAAGTTAGAAAAAAAAAACTGAAGATAGATTGTCTTTTTTAAAGAGGTATTTTTGTCTTAATAAACCATCAAAAAGAATAATTTGCTGAGAATGTTAATTTTTATTACCAGAGAATGATAATCGGATAAATCTTTTTGTTCCCTGCGAAACAACATAAATGAGGGTTAATTTTGTAAAATTGAATATATAAATTACGTTATTCTTTTAAGACAAAAGCAATATAAATTATGGTGGTATTGAATTGTGCGAGAAATTGCTCTCGTGAGATTAGAAAGTTGAATTTGAAGGGTCAAGAGCTGATGAACCAATTTTGGTGGTGCGGATGATTGGTAATCCAGCTGCAACCCTTGCAAATGGTGAAGGCTTGCCATGGAAAGGTAGTAATTGACTTTGTGTTTCTGTTTCTTGACATGATTAATATAAGTTTCTGCTTCTCCATGCCGTTCTTTCCAAATTCAATAATGCAGCTGATAACAGTCAAGTGTATTTTGTTCAACTTAACAAATCATAGTTTGGCTATTTGCATTTACTAGATTAGACATATAGAGCACCGATTGCGATTTACAATGATAATTTGGATAAGAACATTTATTTATATATGTAGCAGTTCGTGTTTCGTATCTAAATAACATTTTTTAGTTTAACTTTTTAGATTATTGCCTCTTTCTTTGTATCGAGAAAAAAAATTACCGAATTTAACTTTTTTTAAAGTAATAAGCCAACATCTTAAACTATGATGAAAAAACTTATCATGTAATTATGTACTCCCTCAAATCTTACAAGAATAGTCCATATAAAAATTTATAAATTGTACTATCTTTAATAAAATTTACAAATTAATGTGGACTTTGATATCTTTAAAAATATGACGAGACATTTTTTTTCTATTGTTATCATGTAGTAAGGTTGTGCTGCTCTAGATGCGAAGCTGACCACTGAGGAAGAGGTTAAATTGATGCTTTATGGCACCCTAATAAGCCTTTTTTACTCGAAATATGAAAAACTCGTCACCCCTGTTGAAGGTCTTATGTTACTACATTCTCCAAAAGTCAACTTTGTGCTAGTTGTACAGCCTCTTGATACTATTTCCGCCATTAAAAAGGCAACTAAAAAAAATTAAGAAACTGGTAAACCATTTCTAATTACTTAATGCATTGACCTCACACGACATTTAATCAAAATGAAAATAAATTAATTTGGTTGGTGACGTAGCGAAAGCTATATCAACCGACCAAATAACATAAACGAGTAACCAAATCTCTAATCGCATCCAGCAAATGGTCCAGCGAGTAAAAATCTCCCCTATTAAGATTAAATGTTAACCATGAACTAATAATAATAATCAAGCCCTTTAAGTTGACGGTCTTTAATCTAACAAATGGAGCACCGTTAACCTAGTATTCTAATTTCAATTATCAACAAATGGACCAAAAAGAATTAAACTACTAATTCAACCACCAACAAATGGAATCGAAGAACTAGGTTCGAGAGAAATCTCAATTTTCAATAATATTCATCAACCACGTACATGGAGCCTGCTGAAGCCTTTAAATAGAAAAACTATAAAATAAATCCTAATCAATATGAATACAAAATTACAAAAAACCGTCACTATTAAAACCCTAATATATTCCTAATATACGCCTCCATGAGTTGGCTGCTTCTATTTTTTTTATTTTTTTTTTTTTTGCCCTTTAAATAAAATAAAGAAAGAAAGTAAAGCACTAACTTTTGGTACAAATAGAGAGGAATATATAGTTTGGCCCTTCCAAATTTAAACTAAAACTGTGCGAAAACGAGAAATTTCAACTTTATTGATCCCACGACAGTCTAATTAATGCTGCGATTGAGAAATCCAACAACGTATTACATTCATGGGTTGATGCCAAATGGTCAAATAATGTCTAAGAGTTGGAGTCTCCAATGGCTAGCTAGTAATTGACATCAAGACAAAATTATTAGCAACAACTTTAAAAAAAGAAAATGCCAGAAATGAGCAACAGACATTATTTTAAACTCAAACAATACACTATTCTAATGGGAAAAGATACAGTTAAAATTTCAATCAAAACAACTAGTGAAAGAGTTATCAATTTAAAGGAGGATCGAAAAAGCAACCTATATATCGGGCTGCCATTCGTAAGGATTAAGGACCAGGAGCCCTTAAGAATCCTTAGAATCAAGAACTACAGAAGAAGGCTTATTACATTGTTATCATTTATTTGTTTGGGGACTAAACAACAAATCAAAGTTCTACAAATCATAAGTATAATGGAGGATTAAAGTCAAAGCTTAGTGCAAAAAAAATGAACGAAAACCAAACTTCAATTGCCACGGGTAAAAAGTAAAGCAAGTAATCAGATTCTAAAGCTTATCATAGAATTTTTTGCAACCGAAATAAAAATATTTCACAATAATTAATGGATGCCTTTTTGTGTTTATATTTAGTACAAACATTGACTTACTATACCTTTTCACAAGCATCGGTATGAAGTTAATTCTTGAACTTCAAAACCATAAAGGAAGTCTATCATATCAAATTTATTTGAGAAATGAATAACAATAGAAAATTAGCCAGATCAAGTTCGACTTTGGTCTAGTACTTCTATAAATCAAAGTCATCATCGAGGAGGACTATAGCATTAGTTTAAGTGCTTCAGTAAGGCCAAAAAAATGAACGAGAATCAAACATTTTTTTGGTAAAGGTAGAGAGGCATAAGCCTAATTATGAGAAATTAAAACCTGTTGTGGATAGAAAAAGCCTATGACATCATGCATATATTAAAAGTTAAGCAACAAATCAAATTCTAAAGCTCTTAAAGCGCACCGTAGAGCTGCAACAATTTAAGTTCAAGTACTACTTCATCATCATTTTCATCAAAAGATCAGTTTGACTATTCTGCTCTTGGTACAAGGCAGTCTCTAATGCAACAACTAAGGTTTTAGGTTTCCACATCTAATAGTAGGCTGAATTTTATCCTTTAAAGTTTAAACCACTAATGAAGAAAGCAACATAATAACCATCGTCAAAAGTATAACCCTCGAACAACAATCTAGAGCATAATTCTTCAAAATCTACCTGGTACTCAGTTACTGAACCATGTTGCACTAATTTACCGAACAACTCTACAGTTCTTTCCACCAGGCCCACCAAATCGGCAAATTAATGACTGAAAAATCATTCCAAGAGAGCTTCCCCAAAGAGTGTTTGATACCTTGGTACCAAGTGTGAGCTCAGGCCGTCCAGGAATAGTTCCATCGGATCCATCTGTTCACCTTCTGGAATATGATGTAGCAGGAAGTACTTTCAGCTCTTGCATGTGGATTGTGGCCGTCGAACATAGGTAGATCAAGCCGTGGTGGTTGATACCACATGCAGCCTGGATGTCCGCCATTTGGATTGTACCTTGCAGTGGCGGCTCAACTATAAAGCCACTAAAATGTCCGCTTTAGGCCCCTTTAGAGTTTAAGGCCCCAAATTCATAGTTTCTATTGTATTATTGATAAACATATCCGGAGACAAAAATCTAAAGGCCACATATATATGTAAATCAATGAATAACTAGTTATGCTTATTGTATTTTTTTACAAAGTTCTAAAAGTAATTTTTCATTTTCAAACTAAAGTTACTGATTAAATATTATTTAAGTATAGAATGGTAAAGATTTTGGCTATTTATTAGTTCAAAAGAATACCTCCATCAAAGATTAGGTAAACTTATAAGGATATAGTAACAATATTTTAATCAGACTATTAGGGAAAAAAAATTAGACTATTAAAGAATACCTCCATCAAAGATTAGGTAAACTTATAAGGATATAGTAATAATATTTTAATCAGACTATTAAAGAATACCTCCATCATGACCTCTTTTAAGATTAAGAGTCGCTTACTATAAAAAATAAGTAGCTAAAACAAAATTGTTACAAAATAATACTTCCGAAAGTTTGATAAAAATTTATGTTAAGAGAAACTTAAAAAATATTGAGAGGCTCTAATTTGAAAAATGGCTTTAGGCCCCTTATATCTTTGAGCCGCCCCTGGTACCTTGACTGACCACCAAGGAACCCTGATTGATTACCCAAGACTGGTTCACTGGTGCGTGTCGTCAACTCCTTCATCTCACGCGTCGTGTTGACAAGCATGGAAGGCACTGGAACAAAATGCCTCCTTACCGGAGCTGAATTTTTTGGGTAGCCAACAACCCCTTTTCCTTCATAGGCCTAAATGGAATTCTTGCCGAATCTGACGAGACTTGAATGATTGGCAATTGATTGACCGTTGGATTCAACGGACCCGTTTCCATCATCAGAGCCTTCTATGGATTTACGCTGGGCGACGATGCCTCCGGTTACTCTGGCAATTCATTGATATGGTTTTCACGCTCTTCCATTTCTTTCTGCATCTTTATTTCATGGTCTTCCAGCTACTTCTGAATCCTTAATTTACGGTCCTCAAACTACTGAATGACTCTGGCTTGAACTTGTTCAGACAAATCGACCATGGTTGCCTTCAATTGCACGAACTGTTTGTCCTGATCCGTAGATAAACGATCGATCTTGGCGTTGATTGTTGCATTATCGACATCAAGATCTAGTAGCCACAATTCTAGGGTTTCCAGACAGACAGTGACCTCATCC